AACTCCTGTTCCCATACAATACAAGGCATTAGCGTTTGATTTATGAGACTCTTACGGCATAACCATTACAAGGAATACCTCTGATTTTGAGGACCTGTAGGTCGGCCTCAGTCTTGTCGATGAGCCGGTGAACGGCATAACCGGGAAACGCGAGCAAAGCGCTCAACAGATGGCTTTGTTCGGACAGATCCAGACGCTTGTCATCATTGGCGTCAAAACTGGTCCGCAATAATTGCAAATACTTCTCAGTCGCGCACTGGGAAAACAAGGCCTACCGTTCCCCACAACAATTGATTAGTTAACAACCGATAAAAGGGGTTTAAGTGTCTGTCCACTCAATACCTGTAAGAAGTAGTCATCCGGGGGTCGGCCGTACGTATAGCCGCCGCCAATGATCTGTCGAAACATATGGCGATAGTTGTCGATCACAAAGAGGTCCGATTTGGCCATAAATGAGTTGCGAGCGGCCAGTGGTTGGTCGCAAGCGGGCGGTGGCGGCTGTGAGCCATTCCTGCAGATAATTGTCTCCAATTGTGTCCACTTATCCGGTGGTCGACTCATTAGAGTTAGCTTTTCGTTAGTAGTCTTCGTGACAGCGATTCTCAACGAGACATCTGTTTGAATGGATCCAAACGGTCATCAAATGAATGGTAAAAATCAGAAATATTAAGACAACTAATGAGTCATACGTTTGGAAACCGCGGGCGACGTCGTGACCAACAGATTGGTGACCAAAGTGTGGCAAAACTCGAGACCCAAACAGATGTCGCACTTCTTGAGCTCAGACAAGTCGACGAGTTTCTTGTCGTACACACCCTCGATGTCGATGATATTGGCGTCCATTGTGGTCAACAGCCGCCTCGTACTGTCGGTGCCCTTCCTATACACGGACTTCATGTTAGGCCACTGGATATTCCCGCGGTTTATGTGCCCCGTGTCGCAGGTGTCGGTGCTTTTGTCGGTGTTTGTCAGTTGCTATACACTTACGTTAATCAGTTTTGAACGGTATGTTTGAGTTTATAATGTATTTTAGTTTAAATTTAGTTTATTTCTAGGTTTACTGATAAATAAATAATTACTTTTTTAATTAAATTTCTATTTAAAAATAATTCGCAAATGCAAATAATTAGTTTTACAAATACGTTAATCTACCAGGCGCCGTTTTTGTTATTTTTGTTTATATAAATTATATTCAAAGTTAGTTTAAATTACTTTTATATTTGACTTATAGTCTAATTGATAGGCTTTACGATTGTTATAGCATTAATGTAGGAAATAAATCCCTGATTTGGGTCATTGCATAACAAGAGTTATGCAAAATCTGAAAACAATTGCTTTTGCGGTCAAACACAGTATGCGGTCATTAATTAGTCCATTAACTCGCTGTTTGTTAGATACTGTAAGTCTCTACTAGGTATACATTTACGGTATATTCAATTAACTGAATACAATAGTATATATAATATATTATATTATAGTCAATTTTTTCCGTGTAATAGTATATCTCTTATTAAAAATTCTATTTAACGACTAAATTTAATAAATTCAATAAAAAATTATACTTTATTTTTAATTTATGTATGTATGTATGTATTTATTAATTAAATTTATTTTTACGAATCATTTGCACCAAGGTATATCCTGATAGTTCACCCCATATTCTACACATCAAATTACCCCAAAATTCAAACCTATTCATCAAAACTACTGCTAATCGGATGGATATTGGGCTCAATATTCGCGGCCGTATCGCTCCGATACTCTCAGACACTGGAGTTCCACTGGAAGGGTCGCCTATACTTCGACTGTCGGATGGTGTACGGCTCCGACATCTCGGAAAAAGTTCACGTTTTACTCGTGTTTACCCTCACATTTCTATTGCCACTCGTATTGCAAACCACTTTTTACTCGTTAATTGGTCTGAAACTCAAGAATATGAGATCACCGGTGATCTCGTTGGACAAAATCAAAGTGATCAAGATGCTATCGTATTTGGTGATCATGTTTGCCGTGTGTTGGCTACCGATCCGCGTGTTCTTTCTGGTGGTGATCTTCAACAAGCAGATGATCGACTTCAAGACGACACTCGAGTATCACATCTATGTCTTCGCCTTTTTCGGGGCCCACTTCCTGGCGATGTTCAACAGTTGTGTCAACCCTATTGTCTACTGTTTTGTGAGCAAAAACTTTCGCGTAAGTCATCTGTTAATTGATATTTGATTAGTATTTCTCTAATTAAAAACATGTATCGAGAAAATAATTAAATTATAATTCGCTTTAGTTATTCAGTAGTTGAAATTATTTAATACCCTGCTTATTTGCCCGTATAAGGTACCGGTAGTTATTCTCACAGCAATTTTCAATTTAACTTATTTTAACTAATAATTTGAATAGTGAAAGTAATATATCAGTACTATTTAATTAAATTTATATAGATTGACATTTTGAGAGTAATTTTTAATAATTAGTTTTTAATAAAACTTTTTATATTTTATTAAAGGATGACTTTTGGGAAATTATGGCCAAAACACGGCTCAAGATATTCCGCAAAACACCACAGAATCCATTGAATCGAAAGCCCATCGAATCGACAGAACTTTAAACCAATTCCTCTAAACATTATCGCATATATTGTCCACTATTTTCCATATACTGTATAATACTCTTGAAATGGTGTTTCATATAAGATTACTTATTTATTTAAATAACATTTTATAATCTCATTTTTGTAAAAATCTATACAAAACTTCGCACATAATATGCCAAATAAATATATATATTTCATAAATAGATTCATTGGATGAATAAAAATGTAATATTCAAACAAAATACTCATAAATTCATGTCAAGAATAAGTAGCAAATAAAATAAAGTTACAGAATATGAGAAACATTTCATAATTAAATAACTAATACAATAGTAAACATATAGAGATCAATACAAAAAATATATAACACTTTGCGTAACAAACAAACAAAAAGCTCTTATCGTATCAAAAGATGCAATCAATCATAAAAATATAGTATAAATACTGCATAAACCGTATGAACCACTCAATGGACAGCCCTTTCAGGGTTGTCATCATTGGTGTCGTTGATGTCATTGTTGTTGTCCTCATCGTCTTCATTGAGATTATTGTCATCATTATTACGATTATTATTATTATTATTATTACTGTTTTGATCGACACTCTCATCGAAATGCAGATAACTGTTCAACAGATCCCGGAGCTCTTCCACGGCCTGTTTGCGGCCACCCGGGGATGTCTCGTACATACACTCCCGCAACAAGTCGTCCACATTCTCCTTATCCTTGTTTGGCACTGAACTCAACAAACCAATGGGACGGGCAGTGGTCTGACTGCCATTAACATCATCGGCGGCGCCGGCACTCGACTCGACCGCCGAGAATATATTGCGACAAATCATGGCATACATGCGCTGCCCGTAGTAGACGTCGACGCGCTGGCACTCCAGTGATGGCAAACTGGAGGTCGTGTTGAAGGCCTGTTTGAAGCGATTGTGAAACGTCTGAAAACAGGGCTCATTACACACCCGGCTGTCCAGTAGGGACTGTCGGGAGCGGGCGGTGCGCTTATCAGCGCCGGTAAACACAGACTTATCGATGACTAACACGCGGTTCAGATCAGACAGAAACACTTCGCCCTCACTGTTCACCGCAAACGAGTCGGCCGTCAGATCGGTGGCCAAGTAGTACCAGTCGGCGTCCGAGTCCTGCAAGTCGTCCACCAGTTGTATGATCTGAACGCCGATACCGGCCATCACTTCGAAGCCCTTTTGGTCTTTAATAAAGGCGTCGAGTGTTTGATAATTGCCGTCAAATGCCACTAAACGCCCGCAAACTCCTGTTCCCATACAATACAAGGCATTAGCGTTTGATTTATGAGACTCTTATGGCATAACCATTACAAGGAATACCTCTGATTTTGAGGACCTGTAGGTCGGCCTCAGTCTTGTCGATGAGCCGTGCATAATATCGCGCACACGACAAGTGTTGGCCGACTTTGCCATGAGTTGCGACGACAACGGAAGGCTGATCCTTAAGCCCCGGCAACCCGTCAAGAGTGGTATCGAGCACTTGAAGATTTGATCCGTAGTTTGCGTTCGTAGAGATTGAATCTCTTCGAAGTGGATGTCTGTGTCCGCCGGAGACGGAGTGCACGCCAGAAGTCATAGTTTGTGTCCATTTGAATGGTGTGTCACATGAATAGTCCGCGTCTTAAACACTGCGAGTATTGAGTGTTATCTCTGGACACAAGTCATTGGATTTCATTTGAATGTATGTCTGACTGAATGAAGAACTCATTGAATAATCCGTGGGTTTGTATTCATGTGATAACCACTGAATTGGACACCGATTATGACGTCTGCCGTACACTCAGTCCCTCACAGACATAGTCATCCACTTTGAAACTCTTGTTAAATACCGTAATATTTATATTTAGATACATAAAAGTATAGAGATTTGTATAAAAACTTTGTTTGTTTTGTTAATTTTTAACGAATGGCACACTAATTGTCATTATTTTATATTTATTGTCTTAAAGCATAAGAATTTATTTTCTATGACTCAAACAGTGATTAAAACTTGTTTTGCTTTTTTAATCAACACTTTAATCGCACAAACGATACATAATATACTCGTCAATATAGTTAACGTTTTAGTGTTTCACTTGAAACACAATTATTACAAATAGATTAAGAAATTAATGGTTGAGTGGTGTGTATAGTGTGGGCTGTGATGGTGGACAGGCATGTCATCAGTTGGAAGACCTCTCATCGCCCCTAACGGCCCTATATTTGCCCATTTCGTTGGGAAACACTTTGGATAACTCGACCAAAAGCATGGCTTTGAATCTCTGGACACAAGAAACGCACCATTAGTTCAGTGATCATTGATTAGACATTTATAGCCATCGATGGCTGCGTTGGTGGACACGAACCCGATATGAGTCGATCTTTCCCTTCATGAGCTCATTCTTCTGCAGCGCTTTCTCCATACAGTCTTTGCATATGTTGACTCCTAAGGAAGGGAGTAGCTACATTGACAACAACGCCAGTTACTATTCTGTTAGTGGTGTAATCGACAGTTAACTATGAGCTTATGATCTGTGACTCCTTACCCAAGTTGTTTTGTCACATCGCTTGGGACTGACATCAGATGTATATCTGTGATCACTCGTACAGTGGAAGAGGTATGTGTTTTGTGACACCGATTCTTGTGTCCAAATAACTGATACAAAGCGATCAGATGGTGGACTCACTCGAACACTTCCAGAGGCACCTGAATGTCGCTATTCTTGCCGTTCATCTCATTCTTGATGCGATCGATGTCTTGCAATGAGGTTACGATTTGATTGCTGAACACATCCACACATAGAGACAATTAGACACCAATTGGTGGACACAAGACATTAGGTGATAATGAATCACACTTACAGTTTATGGTTGAGAGCTGTCTGTCCCTGACCCTGGGGCTGGAAGTCGCTCACGATTATACCCAATTGCCGGACATTCTCTGTCAGCGACTCCAAGTTGGTCTCCAACTGATCCAAAGCCGAAGACATGTCTTGAAAGACAATGAGTGGTAAGACGACTGTCACAGCGAGTCAACACTCAAACAACACACGTGTTGGCCATCAGATGGCACTCACTGTTCACAAACTTCCCAACTATTCATACATTACGTGCACCGCATTCACGCCCCCGTTGTCCCCCTCATTGTGTTGAGTAGTGTGTCGGTCAATGAAACGTTAAATTGTATGCAAATAATTAGCGCACGTATTGTATGGACTCATAAACCAAAACAAAAGTGATTTTAAAATTCAAGTGATTTTTGTTTGACATTTATTTTTGTCTCTTTTGTGGTAACTGTGGATCAAATGTCGCACAAGAAGTTTGTCAACGGATCCAGCGATCAAAACACCGGAACAAACAACGAGTGACTTATTATTAGACCAAAAATCACGCGAAACACATGCCATTCAATGGCCAATCACCGCCAGTGTAGACACAAAGAGGTTCTGAGCGCAACTGATCCCATGGCATAGCAATTGGTGTCTCAATCATGGCTTTCCATAGCTTCCGGCGACCAAAACCACTGATTAGACTCTTATGTGTCTTAATCATCGTTTCGGTGATAGTCTTGTATCTGAAGCACAAGAGATTTACCGCCGAATTGGCCGCAATCGATGACAACCTCCAGAAGCGGGCACCGGTGGCTCAAGAATCTCGTGGTCAGCCCTCCCCTGCCAGCGATGACCTCACGTGGCGGCTGTTGACCACAATGGACGCCAATATCATCGACATCGAGGGTGTGTACGACAAGAAACTCGTCGACTTGTCTGAGCTCAAGAAGTGCGACATCTGTTTGGGTCTCGAGTTTTGCCACACTTT